GAGGTCCTTCTGGCAAATGGAAATTTAGATCTGAAATTTATAAAAGAAGCAGGGCTGGTGACAGCGGTTTAGGAATCTACATAAGGCAGTTGGGTGTGTTTCATCCTCTAATGCTAATCGTATGAAAAACTAGAAAAGTATAACATTTTAAATTACTGAGTCACTTCTGTAATTTCTAATTAAGTCAGGGACATGGCTAATAATGGAAGTTATGTCAGGTGGCTGATATTTCTAGCTGCCTACTCAATAACCATTTCCTCTTCTTCCTTAGAGCAAAATCCCTAATTAGAGAGAGGGGTGGTAGTTGCAGTTTACCCAGCTGAAAATATTTGCAGTTTACCCAGCTGAAAATATCTCAGACTCTTTACATTTTAGAGCAACATTGTGACACCATCCTGGCCAATGAGATGTCGTCAGAAGTAGTTGGGGAGGGCATCACTTTCTATCTAAAAAGGCAAAACTTCCCTAATAGAAGGGCCCTCGCTCTTTAGCTATTTACATATTTCCTTTCTTCCTGCCTAAAGATGCAAGCCTAGAGATACAGCAGCCATCTTGTGACCATGAGGCAACTAGATTTAGGATGATGTCCTACATGGTGAAGAAGGTGAAGCAGGGAAAGGCTGATTCTCTGATAGTACTGTTTGAGCTCCTGCATCGCCCCTGGACTGCCTTTCTTGGGAGTCTAGCTCCACAAGACACTCTTGTATCTGTTTAGGCCAGATTCTGATGTGTGCATTGTTTTTGTTTTGTTTTGGCAGCTGAATGCAATCCTAACTGATACAAATCATACTTGGGCTAATGTATATGTAATGAGACTAAAAAGACATGACCATTATTTCAAGTACTAAAAAACAAGTTTAAAAATCAAATATTATTTATTCTTAATACCAAGAAGTACTGAAAGTATTAAAGGGCTTAAAAGGTAGTACAGAGCACTGGATATTTCTTTTTCCAAACAGTATGATAAAATCTGCAGCTAAAGGGAGATTATGGGACTACCAGTATTAAGAAAATTCATGAACACATCTATTAATGAGTTTATGTGTATGATGACACCCTTTGGACTTTTTCTGGATAAAGTCAACTGATCTGGCTCATGTATATAGCTTCAGCCAGAACAAATGTTCTTAAAGATGGGATTGTTCACCTGACCCTCACAAGAATTATAATCTTTGGAAGAATCTTTCTACTCTCCCAGGCACTCAGTAAGCATAGCTAAGGAAATAGAACATCCCCAAACCACAGTGTTCTGGCCCTTCACAGAAGAGCTTTTATTGGGCTGTGCTCTGAGAGTTATGTCTCTGGAACTGCAGTCAGTGACGTTCTAAGAAACACTTATTATTAACTTCTACCACAAAACTTCCATTGTCTTCATGGCAGGGACCATGTTGAAGACTTAGATCTCTATGGCAACAATGACTGCTTTGAAGAACCGCCAGGAGAAAGCCATCCCAAGTTTCAGGACCAGGAAAAGCTGTGTAACTGATCTCATTTTATCTCATGGTCACTGTGGATTGACTAACTATTTGTGTTTTCCTCTTTGTTTTGGTTACTGGGAAGCTCTGACAAATTTTTAATCCCATCTCCCGAAACTACACCAAACCTTATAGTAAACTCATCTCTAGAAATTACCTGCACCTTATAACATAGTCTTGTTCACTAAATTACCTTTGATTTTATCTTGCTTCCTTATCTGTGTGTTCTCTTTACCCCAGTTTCATTATTAATTTTATGTTGTTTATGCCTCAAATGCTTTATGGAACCAGAAACACTTAAGGCAAACAATTTTTAAAAGCATCAGATGATAATAATTTTAAAAAGAGCTAATTTATTGAACATTACTATGAACCAAGCACTGTCCTAGGCACTGGACCTATTTTAAGTTATTTACCCTAAATATGAGATAAGTAGTATTATTACTATTCCCACTTTACAGATGAGAAAACTGAGGCACAGAAAGGTGAAGTAATTTGTCCAAGGTCATACAACAAATAAATGATGAAGGAAAGATTCCAACCCAGGTGTTTCAAATGACAACCGTTTTACAAAAGAAGAAATAATAATATTTAATTTCTAAAAGAAGCAGAGGCCTTCTGATCTTACAGGCTGAGCTTAGCATCCTTCAGCTTTAAAGGAGATATCTATTACACATCTTGTCCATACAATCATGCCCGATGACCCATATTAACAGAGGGGAATGAGACAGTAAAAGTCAAAAGGACAGTTAATCCAAACTGACTTTTGACCTTTAAATATGAAGGTATTCATTCATTCACTCACTCATTCATTCACTACTCATCACATGCCACCTATGATGCAGCTGCTGGGAAGAGAGATGAAACAGATATAGTACCTGTCCTCCAGGAGTTCAGGTGCAATAAGGGAGAGTCAGACAGGTAAAGGGCATGTTGGGCTTATGAGTTGGCGGATAGCAGACCAGGGCAGGGTGTGGCATGATCATTCTGAGAACAGTTTAGCCCTTGGCCTCTCTGTCCATCTGATAATGGGAGTAAGAAAAATCAGCTCCCTTATAGGGCTGTTGGGTTGATTTCATATGTAGAAAGCTCTTAGCCTAGTCAGGCACAAGTATTCAGTATGAGGTAGCCTTTGGCTCTTAAGGCACAGTGGATGGCAGCCTGGGCACCTTGCTCTGACACACACCTGCACACACATGGGCCCAAGTCCTCACAAGCTCCCTACTGCCTCCTCTTAGATACTCCCAGGAGCTGACAGGCTTATAGTCCATAGACAGGCCTGCCACTTCCTTTCTGGATGCCACCATCTCAAATTCAGTGTCTCACTGGAATACATCGCCCACACAGGGTGAATATTCCTTCAAGATGCACTTGAAAATCTTTCACAGAGCCTGGCCCACATAATGCCCACCTGGCATTTTTGCCACATTTGCTCCGCTTCACTCTATCTCTTTGGCACTTCAGCACGGCAGTTCACCACACGATTCCCCTGCTGCAAAACGGGTCGGGTTCCTGCTTGGGCAGGCCTAAGGAAATACCCAACTAGAAGGGCAAAGGGGAAGTTTCAAGTGCACTATTGGCTGAAGTCAGTGAGAAAACTTATGTGCTGCACCTGCTCCGCATCAGCCGGGAACCGTCCCTCTCTTTGGTTGTGTGCGGTGGCTAAATAAGAAGTAATTAATCATTTTCTCACCAACCTTAACTCATATTTAATAGTTCCATCTCGAAGTCTGTTTTGTCATGCTCTCAGCAGAGTCAGTCAAACATTATGATTCCTTTCTAAATATTCCAGCAGCCAGATGGCAGGAACACTAACTGTGACATGGCAAAACTCGCCTAAAGATAACTTTGTGATGCATAATCACACTTGATGGTACTCAGCTGAGCAGATCCAGCCAGCTACCTCTTTACCTGCCCCACTTAATCCAGCTTCTTCAAACCCAAACCTTCTAATTCCAAGAACGACAAACGTTCAACTCTGCAATGTGATATTAGCTGGTAAAACAAACACGATTCTACTCCTCCGGCTTCTGAATTTTAGGCAGAAGGATAAAATCACTAGAAGAACACACTTCAGGACACATTTCTCAAGATTTCTCTCTAGATAAAATATTCCTGTACCCTAAAGTTTCAAATGTTTCTGCACCAAATGTAAGTATATTTACAACACGTTTGCTGGAAAACAAATTTCTGTCCTTCTGCTGAGTTATTTTTGTAGGTTTTTTTTAAACATAAGCATTGATAAACATATATTTATAAATTCTAGAACGTAGGAAAGTTGACTGTTTTTCCCTAGTGAAAATCCTACATGTTCTCTAGAGTAAATTACATTTTGGTTTCTCGGATCTTTTCTAGGCTATATTATTTATTTTGTGTGTGTATTTAAGAGACTGCAAAATCACAACCTGTACTGTATGATTTCTGAACAATAAATCTCCTAAAAACAGTGTTTCCAGGCTGGGCCAGCTGGCTTTCTCCTGTTCCTAAAACTGTATGTTCTTAAACACACACACACACACACACACACACACTTCCTCCACCCCTTCCGCTGCTGGCTACCTTCAGTCTGTGACACAATCTCACACTCACAACTATATGAAAACAACAGAGGCTCCTGGAAAGGAACTAAAAGGGGGCACGGCAGGAAGCCAGTCTTCAAGTCTCTGTCACCCTGATGGCTCTGCCCTGATTCAGGTGGCTGAAAATTGCTTGTTTATGGTTGCACGTATAGAATTTGACATCTGTGTACCCAGGTTCTTAACCCTGCTCCCCTGAGTAAGGCATTTAACCTCTGTGACCTTTTATTTTCTTGTCTGTAAAAAAAAAGGCACAATAACAATACTGCCCTTAAGGAAATGTGAATCATGTGAGGTGATTCGTGTAAAGGCATTTGGTAAGGCCCTCTGCAGTATGTAGTTCATTTCCCGTTATTGCTAAACTTTCTTTGCTCCCTGTTCTTATTTATTTATTTATTTTTCTGATTTGGCTTCTGTGGTTTTTAAGTGTATCTCTAAAATTCCTTGGCTGGAAAACTGCAGTAATCTGTGTGCTACTATAATGAGTGGATTTTTAGCATTAAATTTTTATTTACTTTTTTACTGAGGGAAAGCATAAGTGCACAAATCTGAAGGGAATAACCTCACAAATATCTATATGTGTACACCTGTGTTACCACTACTTAGGTCGAGGTAGGGAGCATTTCCGGCACCTGTGAAGCCTCCTTTTCTGTCCAAGTCATTACCAGGCCCGAAGGCAACCCAACCCCTCTTCTAAGCTTCGTCCCCATTAATAGCTTTGCCTAAAATTAAAAAAAAAAAATTTGTTTTTCAGGGGAGGCTGGAGTCCCTGCGATAACTACTACTGCTGACCAGAAGACATGTACTTCTCTTCCCTCTAAAGAGATAAAGATTCTGTAAAGGAGGAGACAGGCACGAACTTTCTGAATCACACAGGTTATGCAGAACAAAGCCCTCATTTTGCAGCCAAGGACACCCCCAGGCTCGGAGAAGCGAAGTGATAGCCCACCTTTCTGCTGCAGAGTAACTTTCCTTCCAAACAGAGCCCGTCACAAAACAGCGCGAGCGTCAGGGATGTTGTCGGCTCGTCCCAGCGCGCCAGAACAGCTCTCCCGGCCTCTCCCGGGAGAGAACTTCTTTCTAGGGAGCAGCGCGCACTGGGTCCCCACGCCGCCCCCGCTCCCGTCGCAGGCACACCCACGCGGCTAGCAAGCCACGCTCAGAAGGCGCTGTTCCTGCGAGCCAGTGCCCGCCTGCCCACGGGGACAGGGCTAGGCTCCCTGTCCTCCAAGCCCCACCCGGAGATTCGGAGCGCCCTCTTCCCCAGCCCTGCTCCCGCATCCCCGCTCCACCTCCGCCTCCGGTGCGTACTGAGGAAGGCGGGGAATAGGCTCTGCCACTTTCTCCCTTATTCCTCCAAAGGAGACTTTAAAACCCATGCATGGCCAGACTTAAATCGCTGGAGCACAGACTACTGACCTCTGGGGCCTGGAGATGAGCACTGGGAAGGGAGTCCCGAGACCTGCGCTCTGGCCCCAGTTCAGTCACCACGAGCTGTGTGACCTTGTGTAAGTCACTTTACATCTCCGAGATTGGCTTCCTCATCGAGTGCTTCTGTATCCCCCAAGCCACCTTCAGTTCTGCAATTTCCTAGCTGCTCTTTACTTCGCTCCCGCTCATCCCGCGACAGCCCCCTCCCCAGCGAGACCCCAGCCTTTTGTTCTGGGGGTGAAGCGGGGAAGGGAGGAACGGAGAGCTTGGCGAAGACCAGGCCCGGGCGGCCTTGTCGCCAGGGGCCGCTCTCCGGATAGTCGGGTCGGTGGAAGTCACCAGACAACCCCGCGGTGACCTCGTTCCCTCCGCGGTCCCGTTACGGCCGGGCCCCGGAGACGCCGGGCAGCGGGCGGCAGGCTCCTGAGGAGCGCAGCGCAGCGCAGCGCCCCGGGCTGGGGGCGCCCGGACACCCGCATGCGCGCACGCAGCACTCCTGCACCCGCCGGCGTTTCACTCAGCTCCGGGACGGCCCGAGCGCCCGCAGCTGCGGCTCGTCCCTCCTCCCTCCGGCACCGACCCGGGCACGCGCGCGGAGCCGCTACCTGCCGCTGGTCGTGCCGAGGACAGGACAGGATTCGTCTCTGGCCGACGTCCCCGCCGCCGCCACCGCCGCCTCTAGGCTCCGGGCTCCGTCCCGCAGCGTCCGTGCTCCAGGCGGCGCCGCTGGGGCCAAGCTGCGTTGGGTGCTGCGCTCGGTGAGCGCCGCTCACTCCCCGGCCGCCAGCTCTGGGGCTGCCGGGACGCGGAGGCGGGGCCGTCGCCCCCACCTGCTCCTCAGGCTCCTGCCGGGGAGCCGCAGCCGGCCCGCGCGCAGGGACGCGGCCCGGGCGGGCGGGGTCGCTCTGGAACCCGGGAGGCGGGTCCTAGCCTCCGGGCGCGCCTCTGCCTGACGGAGGCCCGAGTCTAATCTGAGGAGAGAGTCTAAGCTTGCGGCCCAAGGCTGGAGTTCCCCACATAGGAGGGGCTGTGATGCGAGCAACACCCGGCCCAGCACCGCCAGGCTGGGGACACTCCACTCCTTCATCAATTTATTCCAAAATATTCTGAGCCCCTCCTATGCTCCAGGCAGCGTCATAAGCGGGACAAAAGAGAGAACGAGATCGTCTCGTGCCCTTGCGGAATTCACGGTCTAAAAAGGGAAACAACGAATGGACAGCTACACCGCAGAACCAAGAGGGAGCGGTCAGAGAGGGGGCCCTGATCCAGACTTGGGGAAGTCAGGGAAGGCTTCTGGAGGAGGTGGTGGCTAAAAGAACTGAAGGATGTGCATGAATTATCCGGTTGGAGTGACCTGGGGAGATAGATTGTCCCAGGTGGAGCCGAAGGGGAGAGGGAGCCGACTGCCGGAAAACTGAAGGGTCTAAGGAGCCGAAAGAACTTGGTATGTCCAGTAAATCCTTGCCACACTTCACGTTCAGACCCCTGGAAAGATGCAGAAAGATTGTGTCTGAGGCTGGATGTATTCCACTAGGCGCATGATTGGTTGGTGAGGATTTCGAATCTCCCACGTGCTGCGCATTCCCGCTAATGGAGGAGCTAAGAGGATACTCGTGGACCGTTCACTGCAATTTACCCGAGCATCTGTGAGCCAGGCCCTCTGCAGGACCCTTAGCACGTGCTGTGGAAGGAGGCTGTGCCTCTATGCAAAAGGAGCTACAAGTCTGCAGTGGGGGAGAGACCTGTACTCAGCGCTTGGATGAGGTGCATGGCAACACAGGTGAGAGAGCAGTTAATGCTGGTAGGGAGGGGGATCTCACACATGGATAGCAAACTGTCTCCAGTTTCAGGTTCTGTAGCAGCTGCTGTCAAAGTATGTTGCCCAAGCAGACCTTAGCTGGTTTCTTAATTACTAGTGTTTACAGGCTGACAATGTGTAGGCTTATATTTACAGCAAGGATAAATAATTCACTCCTGATGCTGTTCCTTCCTGTGTTGTCAAGAACGTGGGTTTCTGTTTGACTTAGGTGAAGAAGGTGTAGTCAGTGGAAGCCAATGAGGTACTTGCTTCCCACCTGTTTGTCCTGTGCAACTCATGCCTTTCCTCCTGTGTTGTCAAGAGCATGGGCTTCTGTTTGACTTAGGTGAAGAAGGTGTAGTCAGTGGAAGCCAATGAGGTACTTGCTTCCCACCTGTTTGTCCTGTGCAACTCATGCCTTTCCTCCTGTGTTGTCAAGAACATGGGCTTCTGTTTGACTTAGGTGAAGAAGGTGTAATCATTGGAAGCCAATGAGGTACTTGCTTCCCACCTGTTTGTCCTATGCAACTCATGCCTTTCCTCCTTTAGAACCAAAATAAATGGGCATGGGCATGAAATGTGAAAAACTGTGCTCAACCTAAAATTCATAAACCGTTTTGCACAGGTGATCACTAAAAGAAAAACATTTGAAACATTACCAGACAGTTTCCTTCTTGGGATCCCTAATGTGTATTCTCATTAAATACAAAACTGCTAGTATTCTAATACAAAAGGAAGGAAAGGTAAAAGAGCAGAGAAGACATTTGCATGAGCCCAGAGTTCCCACCAGGTCTTCTGCTGAATGGCCCAAGCAGGAGTTAGTCGAATGGAGAGACTGTTATCTTAAGAGATAGTTGTGAGCTGGCGTGGATCAAATAATTTGTGCAAAAAGGCTACTGGTTGGAAATGATAGAGAAATAGTGAGTGAGGAAAATACTTGGAAAGTGGAGACATTTGTGCTGAAAGCTTCAGGTGCCCAATGTCTCATATCCATGTGACGTAACTGTGCCATTGATGCCTTGTTTTTATGGACATTAGAGAAGGATCCATTCCCCCTGGCTCCACCAGGATGTACATAACTACAGGATAGCACTAGCTATTCCAGATGGATGATACAGGCATACCTTGGAGATATTGTGGGTTCAGTTCCAGAACACAGCAATAAAGCAAATATTGCACTAAAGTGAGTCACATGAATTTTTTGGTTTCCAGTACATATGTTTACACTATACTGTACTCTATTAAGTGTGCAATAGCATTATATCTAAAAAATGTACACACCTTACTTAAAAAAAAAAACTTTATTGCAAAAAAAATGACTGACCATCATCTGATAAAGCAAGGTTGCCACAAACCTTCAATTTAAAAAAAAAAAAGCAAGATCTTCGAAGTGCAATAAAACGAGATATGCCTGTATTTGTTTAGTCACAGGTACTGTAAGTCACCTTCCCAATAGCCAAACCCTTTTCCCTTTCCTCCCTATTAACAGAACTGAGGATTATGATTGGTCCAAGACTACCATGACAGTCCCATTCCTGATTTCTCAGTCTTTCTTGCAGCTAAGGAAGTCATTGACCCGGTTCTGGCCAATGAGTTGAAAGAGGGAGTTGGCTGGGGGGCTTCTGAGACCTCCTTTGCAGGCTCTGACTTTCCATTTTTCATGTTCTTTGTGCCTTGAACACAAATGAGATGGCTAGTGATGCTGCAACCAGATTACAACCAAGAGACAATGAACATGAGACCAAAAAGCCAATATAATCAGGGTGGCAGAGTGGAAAATAGAGCAAGTGTGTATGGTACTTCTGGGCATTCAGATGAAATCCAGCAACAGCCCACCTCTGAACTTTTTATGTGAGAAAGATAGCCCTCGCTAGTTTAAGCCACTGAGACTGAGTTTTCTATTCCTTATGGCCAAATGTATTTCTAACTGATACCGTGGCCTGATAAAGGGCAAACATCTCTTCTCCCCCGCTCACCAAATGCCTGCAATAGCTCACCTTTCACACTTTCTCCTTGTAAACTTATATTTATATCTGCCATGACTTGTTAAGCTCTTCAGGAGAACAGCACTATAGAAATCTTAAATGTTTTATACATGTATCAGCACCCATTCTTCAAGAATTTGTAGAGCAGCTATTAGATGGTGATAATGTACTGGGGGCGCTAAAACGGATTCACAGCCCTGCCACCAGGGAGCTGACAGCTTAGCAGAGGACACGGCTTGTAAATAGAGTATTACAGTTCCCTGGAGAGAGGGATAATACAGGAGAAGAAATGATGAACACTGCCTGATGGCGGGGAGAAGGGAGACAGTAATGCCTGAGCTGGGCTTTCGTGGATGAACTGGAGTTTCCCATCAGAAACTGGGGAAGGAAAGCCATTTCAGGGAAGAGAAAATCTGAAAGAGGTTGGTGGACCAGGAGCCTCAAACTCCACATGTCTGAAATTGAACTCATGGTCTTTGTACTGAACCTGACCCATTCTCCGTGTTGCCCATCTCCCCAGCCATCCAACCCAACCACCCAACAAACCCTCAGCTCCCTTTCCCTCATGGCACCTCCCCTCAGTGGATTTTGCCTCTTGGCCCCATCTGGTTCTACCCTTCTGCACCAATGCCACCTGCCACCAGAGCCTGTCACCTCTCTCCAGCACTTCCACAGTTGCCTCTTAGCTGGTCATTCTGCAACGTGCTGCTTCTCTCTTCCAAACCAGTACTCACAGTGTGGCCAGAGATGGTCTTGAAACTCAAAGCTGATCTTAACTCCCATTATCTGTAATTTCATTCTTTTTGCTTTGCTCTGATGATAATAACCAAAGTCCTGAGCTTTGTCTGAAGGCACTCACAGTCTACAGCATGACTTACTCAGCCTTTTCCCTCTCCCTTGATCTCTTTACTCCAGTCGTGTTGGCCTGCTTTCAGATCCTTGAACAGGTAATACCCTTTATTGTCACTCGCCCTTTGCACATGCTTTTCCCTCTTTGAAGAGAACATCCCCAAAATGAACTCCTCCTCATTGTTCAGATCTCAACTTAACTCAGCCATCACTTACCTGAAATTCGACAATGTCACCTTCCACTATAAGAGCTCATCATCCCATGTAACTTTCTATTGCAGCATTGATTACAGTTGTAATGATGCCATTATTGGTTTGATGATTTGATTAATGTCTGTCCCCCAGACTAGACCATGGTATCCATGACTTCAGGAACTGTCTCTGTCTCTATTGTATCCTTATCTCACAGAACAGAGACTACTACGTAGTAGGCACTCAACACATGTTTGTTGAGTTATGAAAGAAATGAACAAATGAGGCTTGGAGTCTTGACCTAAGTATTTGAGAGTCTATATATTTTTTAACTTTTAATATCAACCTTATTGAAAAGTAATTTACATATGAAAAAATGTACTCATGTTAAATGCCAACAAATATGTTCTCTGATGTAACCTCTACCCTTATCAAATATTTCAAACAACCCAAAAAGGTCCCTTGTGCCCCTTTGCAACCAGTCCCTACTCCCAGTCCCAGGCGACCACAGAACTATTAGCTCTGTCTTTTCTAGAGCTTTGTATATACATGATATACTCTTTTGTGTCTGGCTTTTTTGTTCAGCATAATGTATTTGAGCTTCATCTATGTGTTTTG